GGGGGTGGAGAACTCATGATGGGTTCTGCTGCTGCGGTGGCTGTTTTGTGCGGTACTCAAGAGGATAGGGACTACATCGTCCAAGAGCTCAACTCAGCTGAGAGAGGGCTCAAGGCTTGGGCTAAGGTGCCAAGCAAAAGCAGTGACAAGGTATGAGCTGCCAGGTGAGGTTTTGTGTTGATCAGCGGTCCGTATCTGTAGGGCGGTAAACCAGTAGTGTACGTATCTGCGGAATCTGAAACGGCCTTACTGCGGTTGGCTGATGATGCTCATATCCTGTCGATGATTTCTAGTAAAGAACTCCCGTCCATATCTAGTGGGAAGGAAATGTGGCCACTGCCCAAGGCACAAGGTAAGCTCTCAGACTTGGAATTTCTATCAGTGGTTTGGCCAGGTGCGTTGGTGCCGGTCCGTGATGCTCCTCGTCCTGTTCATCTGTCCTGGCTAGAGACCACCACTGCTGTCACCAATGCGATCTATTCGATATGCGGCTTCGACTTGGATGGTATGTCATCATGATATGGAGGTGGCCTCAGTGTCTTGCCAGATGCTGTAGAGGTGCAGAGCCTACCAGAGCCCTTCACTGAGCATGAAGTGCGGACTGCCCTCTTGCCAGTGCGGGACTATTTCAACTTTATCAGCATCATCATATACTGGCTGGCCCCACCGAGCCTCTTCGCAGTCGTCCTCTGGGCTGTCGGGGAGACTGGATCTAGTGTCGTGGACTCACCCTACGTGCCTTGGTAAGGCGCTTGCTCGCCTTCTTCAGCTAGTGCAGTATCAGGTATGCCTTCTTCCTCCTGGTCTGGAGTGTGGCCCTGCCGTCTTGGCTTGAATATGGTGGATGGACTACTCGAGCCACCGATACTATTGACAGCTGCTTCAACAAGGGTCAGCGCGAGGCCCAGAGAGCGAACCCTCATTATCAGGCCTACTCCCACAGGCGGTCTCCCGTCACTGGTGCCACTGAGAAGTAGGAGTCATTAATGTCAATGACCGCAGTCATTTTTTCAGGTATTGTCCTGTTTGGCGTAGAGCCCTTGGTTTCGCCGTTTCCGCCTTAGTCACTGCCTTCATGGTCCTCTGTGCCTTCTGTGTTGGTATGTGTTCTCTCAATCTTCAAGGCTACATCCACGGACCTAACTCGACTCTTGCTGAAGGTCTCGAGTCTCATTTTGTGTGCGCTGGCCGTCTCCGCAGTTTACCATACAATCGTTTGTCATCTCTTTCAGTTCACCGTTTTACATACCGCAACTAGCCCACTTCGCTGAGCCTGGTCACATCTTTGACCCGAATTCCGACAGCGTGATTCCGTGGAGCATGCTGCCGGTCCTCAGTCACACGATAGTTATTCAGTTCATGAATCTAACGTGAGTCGTGGCTACCCTCAAGAGCGTACCGTCCATGCAGATATCGCGACATTGCGGCTTGGTTGACCAAGCTCGAGAACTGGCCACTGATGGTCCAGTACCAGAAGTCCTTAGTTTTCAAGCGCTTTCTTTTTGAGGCTCTTGATTGTTATTCAGTCCTCTTCTATGTCGGCTTGTACGAGGTGAGTAGCTGCCGGATATGGTCCTGGAAAATCCAGTCTGTGATGTCTTCAGTTGGATATCATGAAATTGCGCGGCGAACTGGTCTCCCTGTATTATGTTGATACATTCAGAAGATTTGCGATAGAAACTCTGGTAGGATGGTGGGAGCTCTGCACTTACTGGGCTGACTCTTGGTCCTGGTAGATACCATTTATTCACTTATACCGCACCTTCGGCAGCGCTAAGGTGCCTCCAGCCACTAGCGCCGATGAGCAGCTCCATCGTGCTGAGGAGTTGGACGAGCATGAGGTCTTTGACGACTACCTAGAGGTGGGCTCGTTGATAGCAGTGGGGAGATACTCTCATGCCCTTCAGGTCGTCATCACGTTCGGCTACGTCACCGTATTCGGGGCCACATCGATGCCTCTGTGTTCCCTGGTCAGCCTTATCGCTATGGTCATCGAGAGGTAGCCACCTTTAGCGCCACTGCCTGTGTTGAGTGACAACTGTACGTTCAGATATTCGGACGAGTTGAAACTCGGCTTGACTCGTCACTGTGGGCCTATGTATAGACCCTCCCATCCCTTGGACCCGAGCCTGAACAGATTATGGTGCCAAATTGTGGAATTCATGTGCTGGGCAGCAGTGTTCACGAATTGCATCTTGTTTGGTTTTGCCAGTGATCAGATGCCCGAGGTGTTTCCACAGTAGGGCAAGTGGCGTTGTTCTGTGAGTTCGATCTCACTGTTGTTCGTTCAGGTTCTTCCGAGGGGACACCGTCCTGGCCGGGTACGGTCGGTTCGTCGTTGCTTCGGTGTTCGGTGTGGAGCATTTGATATTGGCAGTACAGTTGGTGTTGGTGTCCACCTTACCGAAGATGCCCAGTTGGGTAAAACACGACCTCGAGAGGGAAGATCTCCGTTCTAAGGGTATGCTGCCAGAACAGAGACATGCTCCCAATGGTGATGGTGACACTTATCGAACTGACTGATGACTCACGATCAGCGATGATTGAAACCTCTATCCAACAAGTTTCTGAGCTCATAATGTTTGAGAAGATTGTGTTCAGTCCGTCATAGGGGAAGTATCTGCCTCCATAAAACCTGTTGTCGGAATAGAGCCACACCTAATGAGCTTTGGTTGCCTCTGAAGAAGACAGCAGTAAAATATCGTGGAGTTCTTATATACCATCTATCATGTCTTTCCTCGAAGGTTCAAGTTCAGTGACACGTTTTAATAAAGGGAATTGTTGTGGTATTGGTGGTGGCTCTGTATGCAAGCATGGTTGTTGCGTAGAGCCTCTCATACAAGGAATTGGACCGCAGTTATCGTACGTCACTTAGTGCGTCGAGTTTGGCGGCCTTATTAGAGCTGTTCTGGAGGCAGCAATTCGATGCCACCAGGCACCGCCACAATGGAGTGAAACTCATCCTTGGAAGTCGCGTTATGGGGCAGACGGTGAGGTCGCGTGATTTCGCGACGTTTCCATGGTTGTTCATCCCTCTTGAATGGTTGCCCTTGATCACTTGTTCGGGATTGGCAGTCCAGGGTACCATCCCCATGTGATCGGTGCGTAGCCTTGATGCTCTGCTGAGGTCAGGAGGATATGTATGCTCTCAGGAACGGCGTTCCCAGGTCACTCGGAACACACCGCTCCGTTGCAAGACCAAGATCACGCTCTTGACCATGACGTGGACCCTGGGGATTCAGGTCGCCACAGTGTACCGATCTCGCATCTCAAAGCCTAAATTTCAGGAGCTTCCCAGACAGGCGAAGCGGTGCACAGTCGTCCACTCCTACAGGAAGGAGGAGCCGACAACGGTGGTGAAGTAGATAGTCATCCACATGGTGAGGGAGACGGTGAACATAGAATCGACACAGGGGAACACAAGCCTGGTGAGGCTTCGCTGCATGAGTGTTGTGCAACGCTGTCGCAGTTGACGGTGTGGGCGCGAAGGCTCATGACCATAAGCATGATAACGAGGATGATGATGGAGACTACGATGACGGGGACTATGATGACTACGACGATGATGGTCCTGACTATGACGATATGGACCACATGCTCAGCCCAGCTGCTGTGCAGCAGAGCTCGTTCGCCATTGATTCAGGAAGCACAGACTCAATCGGCAAGGCAGGACGGTAAGCGCTGGCTACTCTGAAAGCAGCGAACTGATGAGCTTCTCGACTGAGTGCTAAAGGTATCCATCTCAGGATGTGCGCTACGGGCGACCTTGGGCACACCTTGATGGAAGGCTTGGTAGCATTCGGCGTGGGTATCGGGGTCTTTGCTACTGCATGCGGAGGGATTGCCCTTTACATCAAGTCTAAGGTGGAGGAGGAACAACGTACGTGCTTATGGAATCGAATTGTGTTTGAGAGAAGCATGCCAGCGAGATTTCGTTTAATCAAAGTGCTGATGTAGATAGGCAATTCTTGGCAAGTTCAGGCCGGGCCATGGCTCGTATGAGCGCAGTCTACGATGGGCAACGAGGCGATGATAAGATAACAGATGATCCAGAGAACCTCCCATAATGTGCCTTGCCGGTCCTGGGCATGCTTGGAGGCACTCGGTGTTATCATGCTTATCCATACTCAGCTGGGGTTTGAGTTCTCAATATGATCAGGAATATCCACTTGTCATGCTCATACCAGATCGTCATTGCGATAACTTCCGGCTCGAATAGTACAACAACACGAGAGGGTTCACAGCATCCTGAACACGAAGCCTTCGCCGCACTCAATGCCGAGACAACTTTAGATTGAAAATCTATGTCATTTTCGGTTGTTCTGATGGACCACATTATGAGGAAGTTAAAAAGTAATCCCTTTCGTGCTTTAGAGTTCCGCTCAGGCTAAGTGAGGCGTCCACCGCCTAGTACATATTACTCAGAAGGTGTATAGTTATCAGAGGTATGTGACACGGTATTACAATCCTTGTAATACCGTAATTCTTTGTATTACAGTTTTTATTGCTGTCTTGCAATTCAAGACGGGTATTACTAGTATCCGTCAAGACGGATCAGCGACTCTCACATTTCGAACGATCGGGTTACGAGGACAAAGAGCTGGCAGATTCGATGATTATTTGGAGTTCCAGGTTTGTAGAGTGTGTCGTCAGCATGATACAACAGTTCCAAGTAGTTCTCGAGGTTTTTGAAACTTCCTTTACTACCAACAGGAACTATCGACTGTACCTCACCTTCGTCAACTCCTGGCCGTTGATCGTAGTGGCAATGAGCTTCTCTCTACCTGAGTACCAAGACCCTGCTTTGGGAGATCAAGTCGACCTGAGACTTCGCATAGTGTTGCTGATGGCCTTGTCCACAACCCTATCGAAAAGGTCCATTGTTCTTCCCATTCCCTGTCGTCTCATCTCAGAGGCCTCCTCATCACCTTTAGCAACCTCAGCTTCTCAAGCCTTCCGTTTCGCCACTCTATTCGAGATCGGGATCTTCCCTGTCGGCCTGATTGCGTTGTTTTCAGTGTATGAGGTAACCTTATACTGTCCCTATGGATTCTCCTCCACGTGGCGCCGAGAAACGGAAGACCATACCGAGGTTCATTACACCCATCACGTACGTCCCAGATTTTCTCAACGAGCACTTAACCTCTGAGGTGACTCGGTACCTTCGAAACTCAGTCACGATCAACTCAATCAGAGCGCGCGAGTCCAACCAGATGGGCATGAGCCCCAGGAAAGCAAGAACCAAGCTAAAAGACGGAGGTCGCTGCGAGTGATACGTGCATTGTCCGAGCATCCTAGAATACATGACTTCATCACAGGAATACGTGTACCGGACCGATGGGACGGTGATAGATTTTGATCGAAGCAACGAGTCACCGTCATGCATCCGCGCCTCCAACGGTTGGCCTGACCAAGTCATCGATTCAATTCAGTGACTATGTCGTCACAGGCGGGTACTCTTCGAAGCAGGAGAGTAAGAATACCCGCGGGATAACTAGCGAGCGTTACCAAAACAATGGGAGGCTCAGCCACGATCCAACTGACGGCGACAGCGAGTCGGGAGGACCCGTTGTAGCCGACGATCAAGCCAGGAGTTCTTTCCTGATGACTCTGAATAGGCTGGAGAGCTCATGACTGACTACATCGACAAGCTGTATCATAAGAACTGGCTCCTTGCATGGTTGCTCGAGCTCATCCATCTGGATAATCTAGTTCGGCGAGTGTGGGTATCCGTGTCACAGACTTCCGTGAACTAGCCAGTTTTATAGATACATTGATAGGGCTATTAAAAGCGGAACAAGCTATAAGCATCCTTACTTCCCACGGTGGGGCCCATTCGTAGCATCTTTTTCTCAGCACGAATAATTTTTTCAACACACTTCGTGAGGGAGCAGGCACTACGGTTATGCCAAGGTTGTCCATAGTTGCGTCCTATAGCAGGCTCAAGCTCTACGTAGATAGCCCATCACACGAACGGCTCATGGGCTTTATAACCATCATTCACTGCGTATTCCTGGGGATGCAGTTCAGTGCGCAAACGACCGACCACAGTGACGGCCTGTAAGTCTTTCCCCGTGAATACCCATGGATCCCTGTCCGGTTGATCTATACGACTATTCGAACTAGTGATGGTAGCTGATGACGTCGTGCTCTATAGGCTTTGACCCGGCGTGATTTGTTTATCAGTCGCGCATGCGAGTGTTGTGGCAATTGGGAAGGTACACGACGCTCGAGCAGTTCTTCGTTACATTCTTTACATTCGATATCTCACTAAGATTGCTGTGTAGGTGGGCCGGAGTTATGCTACCCACAAATATCCTCCGGTCCAGGTTACGGACGTCTCTATCTCCTGTACAGTATATGGTACATGGCAGAGGCTATTCTGGTATGGGCTCATCTTAAGCCGCCTGCAGCAATAGTAGCTGCCAGAACAGATACTCCTATACTGTATTGCTGCATGGTCGAGCAGCTCGAACTCGAACACTCACGACACTTTCCGTGTTATGCAGTCGCTACGTGAGTGGTAGTCACCTGTATTATGCGCCAGCACCAGTAGGTTTAATGAGACTAATTCGGGTCATCAGAGCTGTCCGAGTCGTTCCATTCTTCCACGTCGTGTGGAACATGGTCAGAGGCTTGGCCTCATCAGCCAGAACGCTATTATGGACGTAAGCAGCGCGTTGTATCGACCTGAGCGGCTGCGTGGAGGTCTCGAGGAACACCACCGTGGTAGATACATTCTGATAGCGTCGATACTGTTCATATTCTCCATCTTCGCTGTGGAGATCATCGGCCGTATGGAAGTGTTTAAGTAGGAATCACCAATTCTGCTTTAATCTTGTTCCTTTCACTGCATAGTTCAGCGGCGACGTGATGGTGCAAGACCACTTCGGGAGCGTCTCTCGTGCCATGCTCACCTTATTCCAAGTCATGACCCTCGACTCCTGGGCAGCAATAGCAAGGTCAGTGATGTCAGACCATAAATCTTCTCCGGAGGTGGTGTTTCGTTTGTCAGACCGATGCAGGCCAAGGCGCCCATAACTGTGACTGTTTTCTTCGTGGCTGTCATATTGGTAACGATGACACGATGATCGCCTCTAAGGAGCTATGGCATTGTGTGTCTACTCAGTGTGTGGTGATGGTTTTGATGAACCTGATAACCGCTGTGATTGTCGAAAACGCTTTCTCTATCGCAAAAGCTGATGCTGAGGAGCAAGCTAAGATACGTGAGCGGGAGAAGCAGAACGATGTAGGGCTATGCGTAGATTATTCGGGTCTTGTTTCCTGAGACTCCAGTGCTGCCTCAGATGAACAGCCTCGCTCAGTTGTTCAATGACTTAGACGCTGACGGCAGTGGAGAGCTCTCATTCGATGAGTTCCAAGAGGCAGTACTGTACAACACGACTGTCCAGAACAAGCTTAAAGTACCCTCGGCATGTGCAACATGGATACGGCCATTGTGCCAGACACCCATGCAAAACAACACACACGATGCTCTTTATCGCCTAGTAATGACGATGGCAGGTCCTGGACCTCGAGCCGAGTGAAATGGAGGAGCTGTGGACGATCCTCGATGTCAGTGGTGATGGAAGCCTCTCTGTCGAGGAATTTTCCAATGGCCTCAGACGTGTGAAATCAGCTATACAGTAGGATCTTACTGTCACATTAGGCCGTTTCAGCTGTGCTTCCTAGGAGCAAAGACCTCATGGAGAACGTCAAACGAGTTTCGGTTTTGATGAAGAAAATCAAAACTGTATCCATACGGGGAAAGCAAGCAGGCATACATCTCGTTGCTGACTGCTTCCTGTAGGCACGTGGCAAACTGGGCCTTGTTCAGACCAAAATAGCAGACCTGGGGAAGCGTGTGAGCTGAAACCTTCCTCAGGGTCACGGTTCGCCCCAGTGTGTTGCCAAGGTGTCGGGTACCCACGCAGTAGTCGGTAGAGTGATCAACAAGGTCAACCGCTGCACTGAGACTATCGAGGCTTGCCCACGGTGGAACGAGCTGCTCCCCTTGAGGGTCAAGCGCTCCTCAGAGGAGAGTGCCGAAGATGATGAAAGCTCTGTGAGAATCAGTTTTTAATGTGGAATTCAATTCGCAGCAACTGCACTCCATCAGTTATCTGTTGTGGCATGAATCAATCGTGCACCGGTGCCTATTGACTCCAGCGGATCGATTCGTATTACCCTTTTTCAGATTCCGGATGCCGGCACTCAAGACTAATGAGATAGATGCGTTAACGCCACTGTTCGGCAACAGTTCAGCCTCGTGACAAATTTCATATTTCATTAGTTTTGTGCCCCCTTCATAGCTGAGTGTTGCGCGCGGATGAAATATTTCGACATGGCGACAACGATTATATTTATACCGTGTCTCGATGAGCCGTTAGTCGCATTCATATTGTATTAGCTTCTCGCTGAACGGAGTTGTACTCATCCTGCTACTTAGTCACAAATGTTCAACTGTTTATTTGCGAAAATTTCATGTGATCCGGTCCGTCACTAATAACGCAAATGAGTTGACCGAACAGAGAAACAGAACATGAATGGTGACTAATTGGCACCGCCTCGCAAACAGTATATCTTCATTGGGGAGAGACCTTGAGAGGAAAAGCCTTCACCATTTTTTGATGAGGGAATAATGCAATTCTCATATTGCATATCACGGCAGGGTAGGGCCAACTGGCTAGCACTGCTTAGGAAAGGCAAATGCTGTTGAGAGGACTAAACATACTAAAACGACTCGAGGCGGGCTCCCTTTCTCCATCCTAGAGGCTAAGACGTCCCTGCAACGCTGGAGATATGCTATATGTTCTTCGTACTGAGTAAGAAACCTGAATTTTTTTATGGCGATATTGTAGTCGCCAAAAATTGGTAGACATCGGTGGATTCAGACCACACCGTTTGGTATTCGCTTATTATGATCTCGAGGAACTTCAGAGAGCCCATCGCGCCTTTTGGTGACAATCCTTCGGAGCCTTGGAGAACCTAGGGAGCCGACGCTGGCCGACTCGAACGCACCAAGAGTTTCTCACTCCACATATCTGGATATGCGCTCACAGCTCCAGACTCAGAAAGACGAGCCGCTACCTTACAGGCTGTTGAACTCGTGTCCTGACCTCCCTCGAGTTGTATGGCGCTTGCCCGAGCGGTACACGTATGAGTGGAAGGAGAATCGATGAGTATATTTAAACTACAGCATCCAATGAAAACCGCTAAGCCAACCAAAGATGTCTACTATACAGAAACACCACATGCAATAGCCCACTGAGGGAAGATCACACTCCCCGAGTGGTGGCACCAGAAGGAGGAGAGATGACGTTCGTCCTCGGCTTGTGACGCGACCTGTACGTAGTGCGAAAATCTATGCCGAGAGCAACGTGCCCACCTCGTTTTTTGAAGGACCAGGCCGCCCCAGGGGGACACAGGGTTTCGCTTGGGCCCCTTGTGAGAGGTGCCACCACCATGGGGATGCTCCACAGGGTTTTTAGCAACACCATGGACGGCTGAAGGACAATACGAGTCTCAGGACAAGCTCACTGTTCCGCAGTATCACAAGGTCTCCATCCAAGCCACCGCTTCACTCGACAGTGGCCTTTAGCGCGCGCCCAGAAATTCGCGTTGCCAACCTATTCGGCACAACTCAACCATAAGATGGAAAGGCATGTCGTTTACTTGTCCGACCACCGCCCAACAGTCCAGAGGGAACCTCTTAATCTCAGTGGAGTTAAGCTTAATCGTAGCCCACTGGGAATCCTTCGACATGATAGCCGCAAAGCAACCAGCAGACCTATTGATCTGTCCGCCCGCACCTGGCCTGTCATCATCATGAGAATGTCCAAGCTGATTCTCACCTGGCCGGGGTTCCAGGTTGTGAATGATGGTACCAGCGGGTATGTTCCTCAGTGGCAGACTATTCCCCGGAGTGATCGGCGCTTTCTCGCTGGCCACGACCTGATCTCAGCTCAGGCACGGGACTTCTAAGCCTGCCTCACTCGGTCTCCCGGGCGCAGTGTCTCCGGTGCTACTATATACGAGAGAACTCCATCAGTGTACTGTATCAAAGCTAAGAATGAGGTCCTGAGCGGAGCGATGCACGAGAAGATTACAAGACAGTTCACCGTCCCGGGCAGTATTCAATTCGCAAGACGGTGGCGTAGATATCCTTCCGGCCGCGCTTGTAGTCGATAAGACGGAGTCGTTGACGATGGCCTCCTCCTCGATGGAAGACGCCGATTTGGCCCGTCATGAGCCGACCTAAATCATAGCCTAAAATGCGCCAGGCCTGAATAGCAGCTCCCAACCTCCTCCTCGAAATCGGAAGGTACTCAGTTGTGGAATAACACGACCACGAAAAAGCCTAAAACAGATCCTGTCGGCATCAAAGTGCGATAATTCGATTGCCCACCTCAATGGTGCTGTCTCGTTCACCAGCTTGAGGATCTTCCGTTGTTTCTCCTGTGTGAACGGCGTGACCACCGACGGCTGGGACATGTTCTGTCGGAAGCATCGATGAGCACAGTGCAGTTGAAAGGCTTCATCTACCGCTTTTGGCGCGCCCGTCTCAAAGTTGATAAACGGTATTCGATTCCTCTTAATCAGCGGTGAGTACCTGTTACCACCAACAGTCGTAATGATACACTATAGACGTCTTACTGGTGTCCCTGTCGAAGCTGTTGTAGTGAGAAGAAGAGGAGACGGCGGTCGATCGATGGCGATAGCGTTCGGATAGCCGGGCGGAATATCAACCGAGACATCATCGATCAGACGATACCATAACAAACTGAGCACCATCTCAGGAAGCAAGCCCCAGAGTACCCAGCCAGCCGCACATCCTAGGGCTTGCACATATTGGTGATTTCTGATACAGTGTCGGATGGTATAGATCAGAAAACTTTGGAATTGTGGTGATACGGACATCTTATCTCCCCCAGATGCACAAGTGAGAGATCAAGTATCATGGCGAACATGACGGGTGAGGTCGACAGTTTGTTGACACACTGATCCCTTATGGATGGAAGCGTCATCCCTTTATTTCACAGAGTCTGTTTCGTGGACCATCTCGAGAGTTCGAAGTCTTAACCCTCGAGGGCCAGGCGGCAAGTACATCTTGTGATGCAGCAGTGATGATGATGTCAATTCACCTTCGATTCCTGTGTGAATGCCGATACCTGGCAGACACCCATATTAACATTTACCTCTCATAAGAGGCCTCATCAGCCTGGCGGCAGTATAAGAACTATGTTCAGGTAGTGACGAGGGAACAGGAGGGCGTACAATAGCACACTGAGATGACAGGATCGTCACCACTCCATAGCAGCTATATTCACTTCCTCGTTCTTTTCCCTCCTTGCCACTGATCAACGACACAAGCAACATCCACGAGGTCGGGATCCCGACCTCATGGTAACCCGATAGTAAAGATAGTAACTCGAATCTGGACGAGTCCCTTCAGCCGATCGCCGTTCCTTTGGAGAACCACCTTCCCATTCAGCGCCATTTCCAATGGTGATCATACAGGCACTGCTACCCATGCTGCTGTGGGAGCTGATGATACCACTCCATCACCAGTTTTCGACTCATGACGACTCATTACAGAAGGGACCAAGTTGGATCCCTCTCGCCTGGCAGTTTTCACAGAGTTACTTTTAAGGCCTCCCTCGAGCGTACTCCCAGGGCAAAACAGAGCGCTCGACAGCAACAACAACTACTACTACTACTACTGGTGAAGTGATGGCATACGTTATAGCTCCCAAAATTTCAGCGAATTATCGAAAACCGAACCTCCGCCCCAGAGACCAATGACAATGATCGTTCCCCACCACGGTCCAAGGGCTGTATAGACCTCCAGTTCCCCCACATTACCAACGCACACAACGTGAAACAAGGCCAGATGCTTGAAACATCACATCAGGTCAATCATCCGCCGCCACAACTGGCGTGCTCAATTTTTTCCTCTTCCCTGCGCTGTTCCTCTCCCTATACTGCGCCATCCTCGTCTCATAGTCTCCCCATTGGCTCCTCAGCATCACCATATGTTCATCCAGCTTCTGGCGGTTGCTCTTGGTCGACACCATACCTGTCCACTTCGATATCAACACAGAGTGATGGGCCTAGAGCCCACCTAATCCCGTCGTGATGAAAAAGCCTATGAGGAAGATCGCACTGACGCCAATGAGAACATGACCTTCATACGCTCGCTTTCGTATTCTCTCTCTCCACTTGCCCTTATCGAATGTGAACACTAAGCAAGTATCACACTGAGTCATCGAAATATGCCGAGATGAAGAGCGCTATGATTGCTCTCGGCGAAACCCCTCCGACGCCGAACGGCCTGGAACGGCGTCCCATACTACTTCTCCCAAAGAAGCCCAGACTTCGCAGCGTAGGCGTTTCTACTTCCCTATAGAAAGCGTAAGACTTGTCCTTTAAATGGTCTGTGTGGTGCGCTGCATAGACCTTGTGCTCGGAGAAATTCTTCCGCACAGAACTCATTATGATAACAAAAAGCTCAACGTCGTCGTTCGGCCACCCTTCCACGATTTCCTCGGTCTCCCACTGCCTCGGTGAGTAAATCACAAGGACCCTCTGTGGCACTACAGGAGATAGTTCTCTGATATTCAAATGCGATGAACTATAATCCTATAGAAGTACAACAACAATTCAAAAGGACAAAATAGTCAAGCAGTCGAGCTCTGCACTTCCAAACTGATACACGCGAGTTCAATTCCGGCGCTCGGCACTACATACACACCGTGTTGCGCTGGGAAATTGAATACTCTTCTGATAACCTGTTTCCTCCCGTTGGCACCGGTCCGAATGGGATACACCCTAAGGCCTCCAGCTCGACAACACAAGGCTATTATCAGTTCGTTACGGTGGACTCTCAAATTCGATGATGTATGAAATATACAAACTGTGAGTTACCACAACATTATCGGTTTACGCTCAGGCAGACGCCCTACGATCGACCCGAAAGAGACTAAGAGTATAACTCTCGAATGCGCGGATCAACTACAAACAGCACGCCCGCTGAGTTTCCTCCACCAAGGCGGCGAAACTAGTCCTTGAAAAACTCCGGTAGGCCCATAAACATACTCGGAATGCCTGTGGAATGTCACTCTATTCCCACACTATTAGATCTGCGGGCCCACATATCAAGATGATCGCGTGCTTGCAAGGACATGGTAACAGAGTAAGTTGTCACACAACTAGCCTGTGGAAGTAGACAAGCTTACGAGTTCAGCTCGCCATAGGTGAACCCAACAAGATCTTCCATGGACTTCTATATGACTTTCCATTAACAAACTGATAGTTATCGATGCCATGCCGTATGGTATGAGAGCAACCCCGCCACTATCCTGCCTAATCCCATCAACCCACTACTAGGCAACTCTTCACCGTACAAGCCCCTCAACGCAAACCTTCCTCATGAACAACAACAACCCTTCTCAAGCATGTCGTAACGCAATCACCACCTATAGCGTATATCCTCTCAGCCGCTACTCCCCGCTCTCTGAAAGCACCGCACTCGGAAGGATTCCCCTACATTCAGCAGTACCTCCCCCGTGGGCGTTATATGAGAACCACCTCTATGGTGTCTGTCAATACTGCTAGTCGTACCACCCAGCAAGGGAGGGCCCTCATCGTCCGACTCCACCGCCACCTACAAGCACAGCACCTTTGGACTAGGGACACCCCAAGACCATCTACAGTGGACAAACTCGGCAGATCTTCCTGGTGCTTGCTCCCTCGAAGAGGCCTACCAGGACGCTCCCGATAGTTGCCGCCTTTATTGCCATCGTTCTTCCCCGTTGACCGAGATGGAGGCGCAAATTTCGAAGAGTAAGAATACAGTTTACCTGCACATTGCCAACCTCACAGACCACTGTAATATAAGAGCCCTCCTCACTCTTGCTAGGTGACCAAGGCAGGCCCTCTCCCTCCAGCAGGGTCGCTGCCCCTCGTGAGCCCATCATCGTACGCAACGAGCTGCTCTGACCCTGTGGACCCTCCAAGCCCTGAAAACACTCATCCACCTCGCTGAAGCATGCAGCCACTACCAGTATAGGAAAATATGCACATGTGTGCAACAGTAGAAAAATTTGGGGAATTTCGGAAAATTCTACTTGGTTTCTGTACACTTCCACGCTAATTCGTATATTAGTGAGAAAATAACTGAGCTCAGTTGAGGAGAGCAAACATATATTCCTCCAACGCTGACCAGTGGTCAGTGACCACTACCTGTAGCGAGGCTTGCGATAGCATCCTAGAGTGCTGAAGTCGCTGCAAACACCGCATCTCCTCCTCCTCCAAGGCAGCCAGCTCAGCCTTATCAGCTTGAGCCCGAGCCAGGACAGCCTACACCGACCAAATGAACCATCTCAAGGACACCTCCAACACTACGGCTCGTTTCCGCTGAGCTTCCTCTCGCACCATCCGCTGTTTTTTCTCTTTCTCCGCTTTCGCCTGACCGCAAGGCTCTTCCCAGCCGACCCCGTCCAGTGCCCACCTGCAACTTAGCCTCAAGCGACGCTCGGTGGATCGCCACAGCTCTCTCAGACTTGGCAGCTACTTCCCTAGCCTGAAGGGTCCACGACCGTCCCTCTCCCTCCGCCTAATATAGTCCTACCTGCTCCATGTGCTTCATTCGTATGATTTCCGCCCTCTCCTTCCTAGCCTCCCGTGTGGCCTCCCTCTTAGCCGCCAAGGTGCATGCCTTGTTCTTGAGATGCTGCTAGACCCATCAGGCCTACCTCTCCTATATCGAATCTACCTGCTCTTTGATGGTATCTAGGCTCGTCTTGATCTCAAGAGCCCGCCTAGAGTTCTCTGCCTCTCGCCGCTTCCGCACCTATAGCGTTGACAGTCCGGCCGCCAACTCCTCCTCCGACTAACACACCCGTTCAAGCTGGATGAGGCTTTGCTTTTTCTGCTCAGCCAACTCGCGGCCTTCCTCGAGCTTCTTGGCTTTCCGTCTGACCTCGTCCAAGTTCCGCCATATTTTACTCTCCTCCCTCTTGAAATACCTACCATTCTCACTCGAACGCATCACGAAATGTAATCAATTCGCCCATCCTAACTGTTACTAAAAATGCATCCTAGACTACCTAAAACCCCCACGGGACACTCTATTGCTAGTCCCAGCGCACTAATTCAAGCAGAACCTATCCACGTTGCAATGGGTCTCAAACTACTACCCAAATCCTTTATAAAAAAGCCCCATGGTGTCCCTATTAAAACCCCCGCCACCCAGAACTACGCTATCCGAGCCTTCACGGCTTGCTTCTCAGCCGCTATGCTTCGTTGAAGTCTACAGGAGTCCGATAGACTCAGCTGCTGATCCATGAACTCTCAGAAACAACACTACACACGTCTGACACGATAGTCTATACACAACGTTCATCACCCTCACCCAGGGTCGACACGACCGACCCCCCCTTCAACACCAGCCTGGGCGCGCGCTACTTACATCAATATGCATGAAAATTGCACGAACAACAATTGCTCATATAATATGATCGTCTACCGTCCTGTTCCTCCTCAGAGAGAAGTCGTAGCAGACTTCGCACTCAACAAGTGCCAAAGTGACGAAAGCCGTAAAGCTTGTTATGAAGACCGAGCTACGTTCGTATGCAAACTCGATGAGCGGAGCGAAGTGATTTTCTTTCCATGAAATGGAACAGTTCGGAGAACTGCTGTGTCCGCGGATTAGAACTTCACCGACACAAATAAGGACATTAATTCGGTGCTCGGGTTTCCATCATTACGCCGTAAAAAGCTGCATATCAAGAATCGCACTCGCAGCCTCCCTCACCACTCGACAATTTTCTATGAACTTGAGAAAAGATTATGAAAAAATAACGGCACGGGTGTTGCCGTAGATCAGGCAAGCCCAAGCAATAGGATGAATTATACATCATACTGAATGATAGGTTCATATCAAAGCTAATGAAATCGTCTCCATAGGTTAGTCTTCCCGACGGACTGCCAGAAATGCGAGCCTGCCTCGTTCGAATGCTTCGGGGTGTATCTGAGCGGGAGGGAACAATGGCCTGAATGGTCACTCACTGAGGCCCACAGTGTTCCATCTTTCTCAGATTTTCTGATTCGTGCAGTCAACTTGCTGATCTTGTGCCGCCCCTCGCGAGTCTTCTCAGCCCTCATAATAACCACACCTGAGCAGTGTAGGAAAATATGCGCATGTCCAACTACATATGTTGATGACAATACAATATGGAAAGACTCGGGAAATTTTGGGAAATTCTTGTTGGTTTCTATGATTTGTGAGGAAACTCCTGCGCTCAGCTGAGAAAATCAAACATATATTCCTCTACGCTCGCACAACACTGAGTAACAGCGATATACCCTAGCCCACCTGGTGATGAGATTAAATCGCATGTTTTCTTAAGGTTACGAACTCGCGGTATTCCTTCCGCGATCTTCATGAAACGCTCCTCGTCGTGGAATGGTGCGGCTTGGTTCAGCGGCGAAAGGGCTCGACCAAAGCGGCAGAATTGTGAACGCTGTGTTATACTGTACAAGTAGCGGACAGATATCATTGAAGGACCTGAACCATATCTCTCTGAACGCATAAGGAAAGGCCTGTACCCTCTTCCGAACATTGCAGGAATAACGCTGTGACGTTGTAGTCAGACTCTGGAAGATAGACCCGGGTAGCCTCTATGAATTCAACTGGTTTTATTAATGAGAACAGCAGCCAATACAACTGGTCGAAGGGCTCCTGCTCAGGGACGACTCGTCGGAGAAGGTCTGAAGACAATACCAGTAGCAGGACTTGAAACTCTCAAGACTCCAACTCACCTCCGCGAACTTCCCCAGCGATTCGGGCATTCACTTCGATCAGGCACACGTCTTCGCCTACCACAACAATCCCAACATACCAACAATTGAATGCCCCTACCGCGTAGCATGAGCTCTGTATGAGCGGCACCGTTACGGACACCCGTAGCATCTAACACCTGGAAGACGTAGTTCAGTACTTGGCGCGGACACTCCGACCACGATACTGATTCCTACAGTAACCCTAGGGTGAGTTCGTATCACAGGTGAGTTCACACGCTAACCTGTATGTCATAGAGGCACTCAGTTGAGCCAGGTTTCGCTTTGGGCGTGCCACGCCAGATGTCAGAGACCAGGTGATGACCATCTGTCGAGACTGTGTTGACAATGAACTCGTAACAAGATCGACAACTTCTCCCGGCGGCCTCAGCAACACCCGAGGACGATGAATCCCTGCCATAGGGAACGATGGAGACCCGAACGATTAAGGGCAGATCGTGCATACAGATCGTCACAGTTATCGCCAGGTTTAGCCCTCTTCCTCCTCAGACTACTTCGCATAGGTTCTTCCTCCAAAGCTCCTAGATACCTGCGCGATTGATTTCCCAAAGTCAGATGAGGCACTTACTCCTGGACGACCATTTTCTCGTTGGTCAGCCTCTCGGCATTCACTCGATACATATTATCATCAAATGCGTCCCGAACTTCCTCCTCTGCGACGCACCTATCCAGCACAGCAACGCTCCTCCACAGCCAGCCTTGTGAGGCCCTACACACTAACGCCGTCGCAGCCCCCACTGTTCGCTGGCTTCACGACCAGCGGAGCTTCTTTTGTCGGCCGCCTCCACTCGAGGGCATGTGCAGCCGATGTGAAACACCGACTTTCGCAATGGCGAAGGCCCTTTGCGGCTAAGCACTTCTGCATGAGGGCCTTATCAGTCTGAAGACAACCCAACTTCTCATTGGTTCAATACTCAGTGTTGGGACCCGATGTTCAGTAGTTAGAGGGTTGTTGCCGCAATATGGTAGTCCTAAAGCCGCACAAATACGGTCTGCGAACGGCACGAATGCGTCCAACATTGGAACTACTCCGAGGATCTCTGCTGTCTGTGACCTACGAAGATGCGTCTCTCGGGAACACGACCATGGCGCCGCACCAGCACTTGGAGTGGTTACAGTCATTCACAAGCAACTAGTATATAGTTGTCTACTGCCTCTAGCCAGTGTTGAGATATATGACCCTTCTTCTCAGCTTGGAAACTTCCTCACTAATTATAGAAGTTTGTATTCGAATCCGGGTAGAAGTGCTCAGAAACCAACAAGAAATATTCAAATTTCTTTGAAATTTTCATCTAGTCACCGACACATGTAGTTGACCATGTGCATATTCTCCTACACTGTTACCCCTACCACAGGGAAATATATCGATCAATCACAAGGCATGAGCAACTCAGATGTGTTTCCCACAAATGATTTCTCACCGTGTTATTAGGTCCTTTTCAAGAGAGTCTAATACTCCACTATAATCGACTACACCGTTTGCCGAGACCTGATTGCTGGGCACCGCATAGGTCCTACCGGGCGGCCCCCCATCGACTCGTCCCTGATGCACGCATGCACAAGATGCTGCCACGACCGAGGGTGTAATCTCACCTGAGGGCTTGTCACGACTCTGGCGTTTCTATAGATATCATGTGGCGAGACCCAGACTTCTTGCACATCGGGGAAATGCTGGTCAGAAGAAGCTCATCAGGCACTGAGCGAAGGTGGTGCCTCCTTACATTTTGTAGATGCTTCTTTATCATAGTCCTCTTCCCCAAAGATCCACCAATGAGTATGATCTCTTTCTTCTTTTTCTGGCCAGCTATACCCTCCTCACTAACGCTTATAGGAGATGATAAAGTAGAAGAGGACAGGGCGGTGGCTGCCGAGGACGGAGATATCGTATCGCTACTGCTACTGCTGCTGCTGGTAGCCTCAATCACAGGCCCGGTGAACGCTGCTGCAGCTGCTTGAGGGCTGCTTATGAATGACCGCATATTCACGGCTAAATCGCTGTGCATATCACTGTGAGTGATGCCTATAGTAATATTGAAGCAATGAATGATATTAAATTCCATACCACGACATTATTTTTATATTCTAATATTCTCCTCGGGGCAGCCTTACCCCGACTCAAGCGTTATATTTCACATGAGTCACAACAGGATGATGAATGTGTTCACACAAAACTCCACGAGAAGAACTGCTTCAGCCGAACGAACAAGTATTCACTATAGTAAACCTCTCCCATGACAATGTGGCACGCAAGAGATCATATCAGGTCATTAGAAATTATCAAGTTAATGGTCTTCACAAAAATGATGCACAAATGTGTCAACCTAGACAAAGTGTGACAATGGCAATAGCGACTGTATATATCATCATCAGGGGACTCCAACGAACCCGTCCAGTAGAAGAGATACGTCCTGTTGCTCCTCCATAGGCGGTACTCGGCTGCTCTCACCGTATCGGCGGAGGTAACCCTGATGCTGCAGAATGTCCGGCATAGGCCCATGAATCTCGAACTGTATAGTCCACTTCGCTGAAGAGAGAGAGCATCCGATCGGTCCTATCTTACTCACACATTTCACGACTTGATAATTATATAGCAGTTATAGAAACAAAGAGAAAACGAAAACAATAAAAAAATGCATGGCGGTTAAACGAACGGTATTTCACTAGTGGTATAGCAACAATAGATTGAGCCCACCTAAAAAGAGCGCTGCTATTATGATGGCCGATATGAGTAACGTCTTCTTCGCCGCCGCACTCGATATCCGCTGCATTTCCCTGGCTTGCGCATCGGGGTCTGGCACTACTCGATGACCTAAACCGAAGTGACACATCAGAGAGTAAAAAGTGACAGCGCTACTACCACCATCGGGGTCATGACCAGCTAAGAGAGGCTCATTTTGAGTGCCGGCGGTCATAGCAGCATGCCGTGCCGCCAGCATGAACGATAAAGCAGCCATGGGAACGTTTGGTGAGAGGAACCCTCACTCTACCGTAGTGATGACAAACAATAAATTTCCTACGATGAAGATGACCAACGGAGTTACGAGAAAGGCCTCAAACGTGTTCAGTGGTGGCACCGAGGAGCCTGCATATCGAGTGCGAACTCCATCAGTTAATCTCAGCGAAATTCATTTACCAGCGTCGGCATATATATTCGTGGAGATTTTCCACTGGGGTTCACTGAACGAATCAGGCGCTATGCTTCAGCCGGGCATATCCCACCACTCCGCCGTTCCGACCTCCACTACAACACAACCAGAATCGGCAGTATATGAGAGTAACCTAGTGTCACACAGCAATCGAGAGACGGTCTTCGGCAACCGAAAAGCTGAGACAGAGCCTAAGAATTACCGCGTCTATTGCTGGTTTCTCATAACGTAAGGTACGATGAATTCTCGCAGGAAGTATGAGTGTACCTGAGCAAACTCCTATAATACCGTGAAACGCCCAGTGACAGACAGGGCGGCCATGTTAATCTCACAGCAGTGAAATTCCTCAATTGTCCCCTCATAGTATCGCTGAAGCTGAGCGGCGCATTCTGGAATTTCCCCAGTGTTGGAGGAATACATGTTCGCTCTCCTCAGCTGAGCTGAGCTCAGGAGTTTATATACGTATTAAAGTAGACGTGTTGAGAAACCAATGAGAATTTCCCGAAATTTTCATATTGCCACCGATACATCTAGTTGACCATGTGCATATCAAATTGCTTGTCGACATCTTACAGTATGATCATCAGTGAGCTCAGGATGGAAGCATGTCACCAGAATGTTATCCTCCTTAGCTGCGCATATCATAGGACCCTCGAATGACGGATGATGAATAGTGCCTACAATGCGAGCAGCAGATACTCAAATGGTCCGGAAATGTTCAAGGCAGCAGGTCTACGATGCCTCAACCTCCTATGAAACGTCGTACTCATTCCAAGTATTACTAGTACTTCATTTAAATGCAATACCACTGTAAGGAAGGTGTTGTTGTGACGATTTCTGTCCCGTATAGGATTGTCACGTATGTTACCGGTTAATATTCAATCCAATGCGCAAACAACACTCGTAAATTCCACCCCTACACTACCTAATACAGTCACTTTCTCAGAGTCCACATCGAGGATTGCCGGTGCTCGGATGAAAACAGCGGGAACATCAGCAAACACCTGTACAGGGTAGAAGCGTCAACTAATAACAGAGATCAACAACAACCACTCACGCAGCCCTGATCAATGGTCGCCTCGAAAGAATTCAACTGACGGCCGAAGTAGTTGCGGGACACTTTGATGTCCATAACGCCGATGGGGTTACCGTACCTGAGCAGCAAACTCTGATCTCACTCAATACCACACCTCGCGCTCATCCTTGCCCTTAATGCAGTAGTTATAACTAAGGCTTTCCCAAGAGAGAGAATTCATAGACGCGGATTCAATTCCCCATCACCACGACGAACAGAATCCCTCGTGATTTCGATGCACTTCGGGTCAATAAGGCATCCACAGCTCCCTTCTAAACGCGAGTGACCGAGATAGGAAGCAGAGTGGGAACTATGCACATGCTCAACCACATGTGCCAATGGCAATATGAAAACTTTGAGAGAATTTCTGGGAATTTCTAATTGGTTTCTAAACACTTCTACCCCAATTCGTATATATAAACTCCTATAATCAGTTCGAGAAACTGCCGAACTCCGAGGCTGAGCCGACCGAACATGGATTCCAACACATATCTCACTTGCATTCAGTGTGCTCCACTATTGTACCAGAGGCATTCCTACTACTCTGGCACACAGTCTTAGCTAGGAGGATGGTACCAGCGCAGGTACCCCAGACGGGACGCCCAGAAAGGGCAAAGTGCCTAAGGGGAATACATGATGATGCAAACCACACAATGAGTATCAACCATACGAAGAACGTATACTGCACTACAGATGAATAGCATACCCTAATATTGTGGAAACTGGCAGCAACACCCAATTGAATAGCAAACTTGACATAGCTCCCTACAGTCCCCATAGTGCTCGTAGAAGGAAAGTAATACATACTCTTTACACATATCAAAGAGCCGTTGAATATTCACTATACGGTAAATCGCTTGAGCAGCCTTGATAGAACGTCGCATCCCAAAAACGAGAGTTACTAATATACCACAGAGCATTGAAAAAAAACCATCTGCCGAGATTTTCTAGTACCTCAATCCCTCAATGATATCATCTTCTCCACCGTCAGAAATTATTTTCATAGCTGTAGACTCGCCACCGGGTATGATGATACCATCACAGGCATTCAACTCGGCAACAGTACGAACCTGAGCCGACAGATTTACCGCGCGCCATGAAATTGACTATAGAGTACCTCGCATGGGGTGATGGTTACTCCTTTGATATCGAGCTTACTCAGCACAATACAATGCTCTGAGAATGCCCCCTGTAGAGCGAGAACACCAACACGAACCTACTCCCGAAAATCATCCCAACCATCGAGGAATATCCCCTCCTACTACCTGAACCCTATCAGCACTTCCCTTCGTTGCCGCCCTCGGTACAGGAACAAGATTCGAAGGGCACACGTTAGAGGCAGCACGTGACATGAATACGAACGGGATGATCAAAAGAAAACAACAACTGTGAAGGAGTTCGCGTATCATAGTGCCACTGAAAATCACGCAAGTGGGTATTCCTCCCACATCGCCGAATGCTCGAATGAACACTCGAAACCACTATACCAGGAATAACTCTTCTAGGCCCCCGAACTGAGTTCCCTATTCGTACTAACACAGAGTGCATCCTACTAGCGATCCTCCTCGTGTTGCTATCATGGTCCCTCTCCGAGATCACACAATATGCATCACTTCCTGGATCAGGACGAACATCTGAAATTCCTTTCCCACCCAAGATGACCATTTCAACCCGAGTGAATAAACCTGCTCCCACTCCTACTACTAATCATGAATCCCATCCCCAGATGAGTCGACACTCCCTCACCCTAGCCATCGGAGGCATTCCGCTGCCCCTATGCAGTGCCCTTGATACCGAGTAAGTGTAGCCAAGCTACCATAAGGAAGAACTGACACCCCCGTTTCCCATGTAGAAAAAAACGTCCACCCACACACAACAGTATTTTAACTAGGGAAATATCGTTCAAACAGTAGAGGAGGCGTTCTCTTGAGCAGTCGGCTTAGCACCATCTAGTACCTCACTCAGAGCTTCCACCAGGTTCACCGGCACCTGACCATGTACGCCTATTCGTGATTCCTCCTGTTTTCTTGACGTGAATAAACTCTTGAATTCGAATACTACCTCAGCCTTCCTCTGCGGATCACTATCAATGACTTGTCGCAGCCTCCTAAGGTCCGCTTCCATCGCCATCGTAGCACACTGCGTGAGAACACCACCATCTACTACCACTCACAGTAAGAGTACTACTCCCACCTCCGTTTCGAAGTTGTTCGTCTCAAACTCCACCTCCTCCCTATGCAACGAGCGTAAGACCTGACGAACATCCACTGTATTACACATAACCTCACATCTCGAAAATCATCACGAACGTCGCGCCCCCCCAACCGAATATTCAAATACCATCTCGATTACATTGCCGTGGCTCATCTGGTCAAGTTTGCGTCGTTTCTGAATATCCTCCACTTCCTTCGCCAGAGCTTTCCTCTTCTTAACTAGCGATTGCTCAAACGCCGACACCTACACCGTTCGGACCGCTGAACCTTACACTCTATATTAACCCCTACCTGTAGCTTTCCATGAATCCACTGAGGCACGGAGTACTTCGTCGCGACATCCAAATACTCATTGTTCTCTGCCGTGTCAACTATGCTCACCTACGAGTGCACTATTCTACTCAACGACTAAGAGCGTATTTTTTTCTTAGGCAAATTCAAAAAATCTGTGTTTCTCATTAACGAATAAGAGTTTGAGCTGAAACTTTACAGATATACTTATATCATCATACATCACATGTTGAGTCGAAACGGTCATGTTCGGACGGTTACTGATATATCATGGCGAGCGAAA